AGTCTTTTCCTGCTTGGGTGACTTTCAGAAGTGAGTGGCTGACACTTACTGGCTTGCAAAGGCAAATTGTTGGTGGTTTTTTGATGGCTACTTAGTACCATGGCTACAGAAAAAAACAATCTTTTCCAAATTTGTGGAAACTTTAATTTTTAGCATAAAATACATTTAGGTACTTGTATAAAGCAAGCATAAATTTAAAATATTTCTGAGGTATAACGGGTAAAGGAGGAAAGTCTTAAAATATACATTTCATTGAATTTTCTACATCTGTATAACTGCCCCCCAGTTCAAGAACATAGCACATTTCATCACCCCAAATCTCCTCTAATGACCCTATTAAACAATACTCCCAACAGCTATTCTGATTTCCCCATGGGTTCATTTTGAATTTCACATAAGTAAAAGTATATATAAGTAAACGTGCCTTATGCACAATTTATTGCACATGGTTTTGACCAGGCATGGTAAAAAATAAATAAATAAAAATCAAAAGAAATTTCAAAACAAAATTTTTTAATTCTCACATGTGTTTTACACAGCTCAGTTGATGCAAAGAAGCTCTGTCAGTCTTGTGCTAATGTCAGTTGTGTTTAAATCATTGTGTGATCTGCTGAGTGTTTCCCTGACCTTAATTTTGTGAAAATCTGCTTTCCTTAAAGCAAAGCAAAGTAAGAGTGAATATGCTTAATTGAAGTGATAAAGTCAGTATTTGAGATTAGTTGAAAGGTGGCATGTCTTTAGTTGGGTGGCATGATGAGAAAAATGAATCAAGCTGTCCCACATTATGGTGCTGAACTCTGTGTGTCCTGTGCATTCATGGATTTTCCTCAGTGGAAGTCTCCTTGGAACCACAGACCCATGGATACCAAGGCTCTACTGTAGTATATACTGTATATACTGGCTTATTTAAATTCCTTTCAGCATAATGCATATGATTCATTCATTTTTTTTTTCAACACTGGGATTTGAACTCAAGGCCTTGCATTTGCTAGTCAGACACTCTTACCACTTGAGCCACTCCACCAGCCCTTCTTTGTGATGGGTTTTTTTGAAGTAGGATCTCTGGAACTATTTGTCTGGGCTGGCTTTGAACTTCAGTCCTCCTGATCTCTGCCTCTTGAGTAGCTAGGGTTGTAGGTGTGAGCCACTGGCACCCAGCTTATTCATGTTTTTGTATGTAGTAGTAATTGCCTTTTATTACTACATAGTATTCCATGAATATACGACAGTTCATTTGTGTAAACTCCTGGTGATAGACATTTGTTTCATTCCCAGTTTAGGGATATTATGAATAAAGCTGCTGTGATGATTTTTGTACATCTTTTCTTGTGAATACAGTCATCTTCCCAGGGTATACAGATAGTGAAATTGCTCCTGTTATAGTATACTTATGTTTATTTTAGTAGATACTGCCGAAGTCATTCTCCAAAGTGATTGAATCAATTTGAATTCCACCAGCAATTTATGAGATATCCAGTTGCCCCGTGTCCTTGTCAGCACTTAGAACTGCCATTTTTTTGAGTTTCAGCAGGTGGACATATTTCTATTTTTTATTTGATTAGGGATCTATATAACATTTTTTTAAAAAAGCAAAATTTGAAGGGAAAAAAACACCAGATTATTTCAACAACTTCATCTGAGAAATTTAAAATGTTGGAGTTAGGCAATTTAATTATTTACTTTCCGGTTACTTTTTAACCTAAAACATAAGTATTCTCGCTTTTTTATTTCTCACATAACTTCCTAATTTACAATAATGTAGGAAAAATACTGTAAAGTTATTGTCATGTAAAGTTAAAAGGCTAATGTTTCAGTAATCTTGAATAACTTCAGGTGAACTTATGTGAATGTTGAGGAGTTTATTCATGGCCTTGAAATTAGTTATATTTGCTGATTTTTAGTCCTTAGTATGTTCCATGATGCTGTGTTCTAGGTGTTGGGAGTAAAGTAGTGAGGAAAGTCCTTACTTGACTATGTTTGTAAGTTTTGATGACAGAATACTGACAACAAATCAATAAATATGTAAAATATGTAAAATGCAGCAGGAAGGGGGCCTGTGAGGGATGATGTTTTGTGAGGAGAGATCATGGGAGTACTCAGCACTCAATTAGGTGACATCTAAGCAGAGACCTTAGTGAGGGAACGGGTCATTTAGCTACCTTGGTGTTGAGTATTCTGGCCAGAAGGGTCATTAGGCTCAAAGGCCGGGAAGGGAGGGGGAGCAGGAGTATACCTGGTTTGTTGGATGAAGAGCAATTAAGATCAGGATTGCTGGAGCCTTGTAAGAGGTTGAATGGTTAGAGAGGAGTCATGGACCTTGTAGATCATTTTAAGACCATTTGGCTTTTATTTAGTTTTTGACATAAGGTCCCATTAGAATTTTGTAAGCAGCAAATTACCACTATTATTTATGTTCACTCAAAAACCTGTATAGGAATCTTCATAGCCACTTTTGTAATAGTGAAGAAGTGGAATTGGGAACCAGGCACCAATGACTCACATTTGTAGTCCTAGATGCTTGGGAAGCTGAAATCTGGAGAAATATGGTTCAAGACAAGGCTGGGCAAACAGTTCATGAGGGCCTGTCTCCAAAATAACCTAAGCAAAATGGACTGGAGAGGTGGCTCAAGCAGTACAGCCCCAATTCCACAAAAAAAAAAAAAAAAAAAAGAATTGGAGCTGGGTGTGACATTTCACACCTGTAATCATGGGAGTAGGAGGCAAAGGATCAAAAGTTCAAGGCCAGGCCAGCACTGGTAGCTCATATCTGTAATACTGGCTTCGCAGAAAGCTGAGATCAGTATGATCTCCGTTCAAAGGCAACCTAGGCAAGATCGAGAGACCTGACACAAAACAGGGCTTATGGAGTGGCTCAAGTACTAGAGCACCTGTCTAGCAAGTGTGAGACCCTGAGTTCAGATCCCAGTATTGAAAAAAAAGAAAAAAGAGTACAAGGCCAGCCTGGGCAAAGTTAACAAGACGCTATCTCAAAAACAAAATAAACAAAAATGTCTAGGGGCATGACTCACGGTAGAGCACTTACCCAGTACATGCAAGGCCTTGAATTTAATCCCTAGTAATGTACCGCTCTCAAAAAAAAAAAAAATCACCTTTCACAATGGTCTGTCTGAACAACTTAGAGCAGTCTACCTGACCTTCACTCCATAGCATTGTTGTGGGTCTTTTCTCACATAGTACTTGTTACTACCTGATATTTTTATGTTCCTTTGTTCATTATTTTTTATCCATGTGCCACCATTAAAACAAATCAGAATGAGAATCTTGTCTGTCTTATATATTGCTTATTCCTGTTTATCTGGAACAAATCAATTCCTAGTACAGGAAGTGGCTTAAAAATATCGAGCAAATGATAACTATTGGAAAACAAATTCTCACATGGAGTGCTTGAGACTGAAAAACACAACTTACCTAGAGGGTCACAGATGCTCCATGGCCAGGGGTGCTAGGAGAAGTCAGAGAGGAAAAGACACAGTTGAACCTAGTGCATCTGTGATGAGTTTTTTTTTCAAGACAGGGTCTCCCAATTTGTTTGCTCAGGCTGGCTTCAAAACATCATCCTCCTGATCTCTGCCTCATGAATAGTTAGGATTGTAGGTGTGCGCCACCAGCACCTGACCAACCTAGGGCATCTGAAAAGCAGAGCTCCAACAGCTGAGATGGGAAGGTGTGCTGGAGATCGTACTCAGGGCCTTGCACATGCCAGGTAAACATGCTCTACCGCTGAGCTACATCCCCAGCCTCCAAATGCATAAGAAAATCAAGTTTTCATCATGGCTTATGTTTAATTTCAGAGATCAGATGGCTGATGCTCAGATATTTTTTTTACTTTGTTTTGTCTTTAACTTGGGAAGATCAGACAACAGAAAACTCTGAATAGCAAGCCAAAGTGGTTGACACATAAGGAAGAGAAAATGAGTAATATGGGCTGGAAAGAATTAGCACAAGTTATCAGACTAATTAGTTGTGATCAGAGCATTAGAGTTAGGGAGCAAGAGGACACTAGCTAGCTGGGAGAGGAAGATAGATTACCAGAGAAGAGAAAGCAGAGACTGCTATAAGATGCACTTGAATCAAATTTGACTTAATTAGGTGTCACCAGGTCCTGTACTTGGTGTTGACAACCCAGTGAAGGATGTGATCCAGGATAGAGTCTCTGCCCTACGGTGTCTTATCAGTGGAGGGAGGCAAATGACTGACTGTACTACAATATAATTGTCATTTGAAGTGAGGTGAGGAGTGCCTTTAGTGGGATAGTGGACAGCTGACTCTGGGATGGGATTTCACATGCTAGCCTTCAGCTTTATTTTTGAAGAATGCTGTGTTTTTCTTTTAAAAATACCTTTTGTTTTGTGGGACTTTGAACTCTGAGCTTCACACTTGCAGAAGAGGAGCTTACTACTGGAGCCATGCCTCCAGTCCAAAACACCTTTTTTTCAGATATACTTTTTCCCCAAAAAACTCTTTTCCAAAAGTGGCAAGAGTTCATTCCCTCTCTGGAGAGTGTTTTGATACTCCCTCTGTTTTAATATAGAGTCATAATTCTCCTAAGTAGTTTACACTAAAATAAGCTTAAACATACTGTGCTGGAGCAGAGTACTCTGGTAGAATAATTTGAAGTCATTCATGGAAGTTTTGCTTTTTTGGTAGTACTGGGGTTTGAACACAGGGTCTGGTGCTTGTTAAGAAGGCACCACTTGAGTTACTCCAGCCCTGGAAGTTTTTTTATTTGGCACTTATTATAATTTGTTTGCCTCTAAAATTCAATTATCAGAAATTCTAAATTCTATCAAGGAGCTCTTTTAATGGATTTGAATTTTATTCTCCCTTTTTCTCCCAGTTGATTATTTTGTCAACAAAAATAAAAGGGAAAGGCATTGAATGATCTGTAGACAAGAGTAGTATGGAATATATAATTAAAGAAATAGCATCTCACTCACCATAAATAATATTTAAAATGGTTTTGTTTCTTCTCCCCACAGCTTTAAGAAGAAGTAGAAATCACATCTTCCTGTACTGAATAGTAAAAGTGAAGTGACTTCCCACACTGCAAATCATGGCGCTGCCGTTCCGGAAGGACTTAGAGAAATACAAGGACCTAGATGAAGATGAGCTTCTTGGGAATCTGTCAGAAGTAGAACTGAAACAACTGGAAACGGTTTTGGATGATCTTGACCCTGAGGTAGATGCTAGTTGTTGAAGCAAAATGAAGTAACTCTTCAAACTGTTGCACATTAAGTTACTGCCTTTGAACAGCTAACTTTTTGTGACCTTTCCCTGGCACCCTCCACTGCTCCTTTTTATCCAAACTGGCTTGCTTTTTGCCTCTTCTCCAGTTCCCCTACTTCTGCCTCCCTATCTTTATGACATGACTGTTCTAAACTATCTTCTCTAACATCCTTATTTTCTTTTTTTTTTTCTTTTATTATTCATATGTGCATACAAGGCTTGGGTCATTTCTCCCCCTGCCCCCACCCCCTCCCTACCACCCACTCCGCCCCTCCCTCCCCCCCCCACCCCCTCAGTACCCAGCAGAAACTATTTTGCCCTTATTTCTAATTTTGTTGTAGAGAGAGTATAAGCAATAATAGGAAGGAACAAGGGTTTTTGCTGGTTGAGATAAGGATAGCTATACAGGGCATTGACTCACATTGATTTCCTGTGCATGGGTGTTACCTTCTAGGTTAATTCTTTTTGATCTAACCTTTTCTCTAGTTCCTATTCCCCTTTTGCTATTGGCCTCAGTTGCTTTTAAGGTATCTGCTTTAGTTTCTCTGCGTTAAGGGCAACAAATGCTAGCTAATTTTTTAGGTGTCTTACCTATCCTCACCCCTCCCTTATGTGCTCTTGCTTTTATCATGTGCTCAAAGTCCAATCCCCTTGTTGTGTTTGTCCTTGATCTAATGTCCACATATGAGGGAGAACATACGATTTTTGGTCTTTTGGGCCAGGCTAAACTCACTCAGAATGATGTTCTCCAATTCCATCCATTTACCAGCAAATGGTAACATTTCATTCTTCTTCATGGCTGCATAAAATTCCATTGTGTATAAATACCACATTTTCTTGATCCATTCATCAGTAGTGGGGCATCTTGGTTGTTTCCATAACTTGGCTACTGTGAATAGTGCCGCAATAAACATGGGTGTGCAGGTGCCTCTGGAGTAATCTGTGTCACAGTCTTTTGGGTATATCCCCAAGAGTGGTATTGCTGGATCAAATGGTAGATCGATAACATCCTTATTTTCAAACATCTCCTCTAAGAAAATTTTTCAGAGCGAAAGAATGTTGCTGGGTGCTGTGGCTCACACCTGTAATCTTAGCTACTCAGGAGGCAGAGATCAGGAGGATCACGGTTTGAAAGCAGCCAGGGCAAATAGTTCGAGAGACCCCATTTTGAAAAAACTCATCAAAAAAAAGGGCTGCTTGAATGACTCAGGTGTAGGCCCTGAGTTCAAGCCTCAGTACCACAAAAAAAAAGAAAGGAAGAAAGTGTGTGTTTGTTACTGGGGTTTGAACTCAGGTCCTTGCTCAAGTGCTTGAGTCACACCCCCAGCCTTTTTGCTTTTATTATTTTTCAAAGAGGGTCTTGTGTTTATTCTCTAAGCCATCCTAAACCTGCTGCTTATACTTCTTTCATAGCTGGCTTGATTAGCTCTTTAATATGTGCTAATCTCTGTGTCTCTTCAGAACTTCTCCAGCAGGCTGGCTGTAGCATACGGTGTGCCTCCAGAAGGTTCTTCATCACCCTAAACCTAACTGTTACTTTGATAGAAATTGCTGACCAAACAGTATAAATTTCTAGTCATTGGTAGAATAGATGTAAGTAGTCTCTTGGTAATATAGAAGCCAACTATGAGACAGACCCGAACAATTTAGGATGGTTAGTTTGAGTAATTTCAGCAGGCTCCAGGCTATAGAATTGGTCTCTAGTTGTGTGCCATCTGGCCCTGGAGTGCTTAGGCTTGATATGTGAAAATTAGATAAAACAGCTGGTTGAGTTTATGGGGCCTGGATTGGGTAGTTTGATTATGAAAGGTGACTCTTGTTGGGTTTGGCAGGAGAAGAGGTTTGTGCTTTCTTCTCAGAATTAGCTAGTACTGAGAGGGCCCCTCTCTCCACAGAATTAGCAAGGTTCCCAAGATGTCAAGGTATCATAAAATACAGAAAATAGAAAAACATGATAATACTTCAGCCACTAATGTGACAAGCAACAATATCTTCAGATATTATCAGATGTCTTTCAGCATACAAAAAAACCCTATGTTGAAAAATAATCTAGTCTGGATCCTTTGTTTTACAAATGTAAAACAAAAGAAGGTAACTTGCTTCAGTTTTTATAGTTATGGGAAGTGGGTTGTCTTAGAAAGAGAGATCGAGGGCTGGGGAGTGGCTCAAGTGGTAGAGTGCCTGCCTAGCAAGCACAAGGCCCTGATTAAAACCCCAGTACCACCAAAAAAAGAAAAAAGATAGAGATCGAGAACAGTGACGACACCCACCATGGCACAGACTTGTATGGAAATGAAAGGGGCTTGGAATGTCAAGTCTCTCCCCACGAGCATCCTATAGGGAGTGATTGGCATGAAAGTCATAAAAAGAATTATGACATGTCCCAACAATCACTCTGTGCATGTGATTACCCATGACCAAATAAGAAAAACCCATGGTGGTGGTGGGAAGTTTAAAGGTACAATGAGATTATGATGACATGTTTATGGACAAAAGGCAACTCTCTGTCAAAGTAGCCCACTTTAACTGGATTAGACCAGAACTTGTTTTTCACTTGGAACCAGGTGCAGGGGACATAAGTTACTCTTGAGGAGGGTCAGTCTGTATCAGGCCTTCTCCTTATTAGTTTGTACCAAACTTCCTCCTTCCTATTGGTCATATAGGGGTCTTTTTTATGTTTTGCAGGTGTTTTATAAGGTTGTGGAACCAAAAACCTTTGTCAAGAAAAGTTTCACTTGCAGCATGTAAGCAAGCAGGTCATGAGAAATTGAGAATGGGGCTCTGGGATCCTCCATTTTTAGGTTTCCTTTGTTCAAGTCTTCCTTGCTAGCTATCAAACTGAGAGTAGACTCTGCACTGGCCAATTGATACCTGGGTGTCTAGCAGTCTTTGTTAAATAACAGTAAGTCTCTCCATTTAACTCATGCACTATGGAATCAATCTAAAATCAGATCACTTAACTTTTCTAATTTGCAAATCCATGGCTTGCTTCTTGCATGGAACTTCTAACATTAGAACTTCTTGCATTAGACTTCTAACCTCTAAATATATTTTTGCAAACTCCCCAACACCAGCTGGAACTCAGATACTGTTAGTTGAGACTAGGAAAACAGTGGTATTTATTGACAGCATGCTTCTCAGGTAATGACACTTTCAGAACAAGTTCCAATAAGCTATCAGGTAGGAAAAGGGGGCAAGGGTAGTAATAGCTGCTTCATCCAGAGACATTGTAATTTACAAGGTCTTAGACGGTGGGATAGGAGCAAATGAAGGTGTATGTGGCGTCTTTTTATATTTTGGATGACTATTTTAAACTGCATTCAGTGTATTTGTTTGCTAACGCACTAACATTTTCACAAAACATCACATGGTAGAAGGAAGGACATAACATATTCAAGGGAGGAAAGAGTCTAGTATGACTAGAATGGAGGGAGTGTGTGAGATGAGGCCAGGGTAACAGTTTGAGAGGGTGGGGATGAAGGATAAGGAGATCAGTCACCTGATACAGGGAGATAATTGAAATGCCAAGGTAACATTCCAGGCAAACCTGCATCATAGCTTGGGCCAAAGTAATGGTGTTAGATAAGAAAAATGATTGAGTTCTTTAGGAGGTAAAACTGGATGGGATTTTCAGGTAGAATAAGAATGATTTCTTTGCTGGGCTCAGTGGCTTAAGCCTAAGTACTTAAGAGGCAGAGATCTCAGTTCAAGACCAGTCAGGGCAGAAAGTTTGTAAGACCCCATCTCAACAAATGACAGGGCACTGTGGTGTGTGCCTGTCATCCCCAACTATGCAGGGAAGCACAAATAGTAAGAAGATTGTGGTTCAGGCCTGTCTGGGCATAAAATAAGACCTTATTTCAAAAATAACCAACACAAAAAGGCTAAGATGTGTGGCTCAAGTGGTACAGCGCCTGCCTAGCAAGCATGAAGCCTCAAGTTCAATCCCTAAATACCAGCCCCCCCAAAAAAAACGGGATTCTTTCTGTCTCATTCTTTTGCTTTCAAAATTGAAGGTAGAAATTTTGCATTTCTTTTTTATATTTCCAGGTTTTTTTATTATAAATACATATTTGTGCAGGATTTAGAACAAATCTCATTTGTGGTTCATCTTTATAGGTCAGCTTTCTTTGTGATGGGTATTATTACATTAAGGAGAACACAAAGGTGGATTTCTTGAAAATTGTTGTGGAGCTCAACCAATGGCCAAAGTGGAAGTGTTATATTTTTCTAGTTATAAAATGAACATTTCCACCCATGAGATTCATCATCATGGCCACTATTGGGAGGTGTTACAGAAGAAGGTTGGCCTTTCATGTGACTTCTCTGACTGCCTCTCATTTATAAAGCAAAGGAGTATCTAGAAATGTGAGACAAGGCAGTGTCTCTTCTGGCTTTTGACAAGCAAAAGAATGGTGCTCACTTTGTCTTGTCACTCCACGTTACTCCTGGCTAAGTGAAAAGTCAGAATAGAGCCTGCTCATCACCTTCCTCCCCCGACCCCTGCTCCCAGTCAGTACATAGACTCAAACGCTGTGCCCATGTGGAAACCCAGGGATATAACTCTTGTTGTGAGCATCTTAGGGTACCTTGGGGCCTGTGTAGCAATGACAGTACTTGTTGCAAGTACATCCTAGTGCTCATGTACTCACATATATAGACACACAAAAGTGGAAGCTTTTGTATTATGTTTAAACAGACAAGTAAACATTGATCTGATGTCCTATATAATGTACATGTTTTTGTCATGGAAAGGGCTCTGTGATTAAGTGGAAGTCATGAGGAAGGATTATCGTGTATAGTTAGTTTTTGACAATACCGGGATTTGAACTTAGGACCTTGTGAACCCCCAGCTACATATAGTTTAAGTTTCTTTTGTAATAGAATTATTCTCTCTAGGTACATATTTGCTGAGCGGTTGTTAAGTGATAAGAAAACTTTTTATTTTCCTTTTTTGTTTTTCGTTTTTTTGAGACATGGTCTCACTATGTAGCTCAGGCTGATCTCAGACTTGTGATCCTTTTGCCTCTGCCTCTTGAGTGCTGGAACACAGATGTCCCCCACCAGGCCTGGCTAAGAAAACTTTTTTTTTCTTAAGCTGGGCCTTGTGGTACAGGCCTGTAATCTCAGCACTCACATGGCAGAGGCAGGAGGATCACAAGTTCAGAACCAGCCTGGGTTACGTAGCAAGACTTGGGAGGCTGAGATGCTGAGGATTATGGTTTAAGGCCACCCTTAAGAAACAAATTCATGAGATACCCATCTCAACCAATAGCTGAGCATGGTGGCATCCCAGTTACATGAGGGGCTGAGATTGGGAGGGCTGTGGTTCCAGACCAGCCCCAGACAGAAAAAAAAAAAATTCAAAGTACAGAAGGAGGCTAAAATAGGAGGGTCGTGGTCCAGCCTGTCTTCAAAATAACCAGACCAAAAAGAGCTGGAAGTGTGGCTCAAGTAAACCTGCATAGAAAATGGGAAGCTAAGTTCAAACCCCAGTACCACCAAGCAAACAAACAAAAAAACCCTTATTTTTTGTAATCTCTGGACACTTAGAAACTAAATGGTGTTTTCTGGTAGTAGAATATTTTCCAAATAAGATATGTAGATGCTATGAATAATAAAAAAATTTAAAAAATTAAAACCCAAGCATTGTATGCACATATGAATAATTAAAAAAATTTTAAAAATAAAGAAAAGATATGTAGATGCCTATTTTAATAATAATATAAGTGAATTCTTCCAAATTTTAAAAGAAAGACTTCTTTGCTAAGAGCACGTTTATAGTATGACCTGAAGTCCTACAATGAGGTGTTTAATGTCTGTGTCATATTGTAACTTTCTTATGTAGGAAATGTATGGAAGCATATAGCGTTGACATTTTTGATGGTCATAATGGCTGATTCATTGTCTTTGGCAGAATGCCCTTCTGCCTGCAGGGTTCCGTCAGAAGAACCAGACATCAAAGTCCGCCACAGGGCCCTTTGATAGGGAACACCTCCTTTCATATCTGGAGAAGGAAGCATTGGAGCATAAGGACAGGGAAGACTATGTGCCCTACACTGGAGAAAAAAAAGGTAAGTCCAGGATTTGAAGTCATCATTTGATAGCACTGGGTTTTTCTTCTACAGGTAGGTATGGAGAAAATTCTATTTTTAGAGTTACATCATTAATGGACTTTAAAGATATGATACTTAAAATTTTACTAGGTCTTTTAGATACTTTTACTTACGTTTTTATCACCTTGGCCATTAAGTTTTTTCTTAATGATTCATTAGTGAGGTTTTATTACACAATAATTTTGTATAACCTTCCCTATTTCTCTGATATCAGAAGGCAGAGGTAAAATTTTAAATCCACTAGTATATTACAAAGTACAAATGATGTCAAAGCAATGCTCTAGTTTTACTCTTGTCTCTAAAGTGGAATATCATAAAATAATGCATTCCATGTTTTTAAAGATGCTTTTTAAAAGAGATCCTTCCATAGTAACCTTACTTAATGATTTGTGGTTATGATTGCCAGGCTTCGTAATTGTTACTTTCAGGAACTTTTCCTAGTCTACCTTCCTCCCATTGCAGTTTCCAATCTTTTGTGTATCTTTAGTGGAGACTGAGTACAACCATGTTTTTAAAAATTCTCTATAAATAACAAATGATATAAGATAAGTTTAAATTAGATGAGCATACAGGTGGGTCTAAAAAAACAAATTCTACCCACACTGTTATTTGGGATGTTGTATGTAGAATACATGGAACATGGTAACAGCCTAGCAGAATTGAAGATTAGCCTTTCCAGCCACTGTTTCTACATCTGAATCTGTCGTGATCTAGACTGGAGACTCAACTTTTTATTTGGAAAGAAAGCCCTGTCAAGGATTTTATCAGAACTATGTCTCGTGGCTACTCAGTGGTTTCAAGAGAAACTAGAAAATTTAAAGTGAAAAACTAAACAACAAAAAAAAGAGAAGCTGGAAAATTCACTTTTAGCATTCCAGCTTCTACAATAGAGGATGGCTAGTGAATGAGTTTTGAGTAGGTTATTCATAAGTTCTGCGTCAGGTTTCTTCAAAATTATGTCATCCTCACCCTATTCCTGTGGTGGGTAGGAAGAGAAAGAAAGAGAAAGATTGAGATTCTTGTCTAATGGCAGAATTCCTCCTTACTTGGAAGAGGTCAGTCTTTGAGGCCATCAACTGATCAAATGAAGCCCACCTACATAATTTGCTTTATTCAAAGTCCAGTTGCTTAAATGTTAATTTAATCTAGTAAATTCCTTAACAGAAACATCCAGAATAGTATTTGATCAAATAGCTGGCCCAGCCATGTGGACACATAAAATTAACCATCACAGTGCTGGAGATGGGAATGTCCTCAGGTGTTTAGGACCAAAAAGAGAGTTGAAAACCAGTATAGAGTTTTTAAGTGTGGTGAGTCACAAAAATAGAGAAAGTTATGGCTTTCTTTGTTTTTGTCATATTTGCACCTATACAGACATATCTGTACAAGTTTTTATAGCTTCAATCTTGCTTATATAGGAGAAAATTGTGTTAGAACAAATATCAGTCGATCGCCTTTATTATTCTGCATGTTCCAGGTTCTCTCTGGGGGTAAAGCTAGGAAGAAGAACAGAGGTGGAAGTAGAAGGAGAGATGAGATACAAGAAGAGAGACAGCGGTGAGAGAAAAGAAAAACTATAGAAGTTGAGGACAAGAAGAGAAAATAGGATATGTACAAGGGCTGTCCTTACCCCAGACTGACCCAAGAATTTTCCTTGTGTGCTTTTGTTTCATAATCTCCAGTTACTTAGGAGAAGATCCTGGAGGATAAGAGGAAATAGAATGTAGGGAATTATAGAAAATAAGAAAATACTAGCTGGGAACCATGGCTTATGCCTTGCATTCCACCTACGCAGGAGGCAGCGATCCAAGAGGATCATGGTTCAAGGCCAGCCCAGGCAAAAAGTTAGTGAGACCCTGTCTCAACCAATAGCAGAGCACAGTGCATGCCTGCCATCTCAGCTGTGTAGGAGAAATAAATAGAAGGAATGAGGTCCAGTTCTGGCTTGAGACCTTTTCTCAAAAAAGCAAAAAAGAGTTGGAGGTGTGGCTGAAGTGGTAGAGTTCCTGCTCTACCAGTTTAGCTGTGAGGCCTTGAGTTCAAACCCCAGTACCACCACCAAAAATGAAGCCCTGAGTTCAAACCTCCCAGTACCACCACCAAAAAAAAAAAAAAAAAAGCATAAGGGAAGGGAGAAAGGAGGGGAAGGGGAAGGGAAAGGAAGTGGGAAGATTAAGAGTTCGAGGCCATTTTGGGCTACATAGAGAGACCCTGTCTCCCTAGCAAGTGTGAGGCCTTGAGTTCAAACCCCAGTACCACCAAAAACCAAAATAAAACAAAACAAGACTTAAAAACAAAAAAAGAGGGAGAAATGATAGTGAAGAATAAGGATGGTAGTGGGCAGGAATGCTGTAACCTCAATTAGAGTAGTTTGCTTCCTTCTGTGTATCTTTAAAATTGTTTTAAGTAAGGTTTTAGATGAGTAAAAATTAAGAGACATAAGCAAATAATTGTTTGATCCTCAGCACTGCAAAAAAGTTGATTTTGCATTTATAAATTGTGTTTTATAATCATTGTCTCTTTTAGCTGCCTACCTATTGTGGGCAGCTATGAAACTGATTAAGACCATAGCATTTAAATAAATATATATATATAAAAGATGACCTTTTTATAGCGTACAGAAAATGCACAATTTATGCATGTACAGCTCACCTGCGTAATCATCTGTGAGCTCACCTGTGTAATCACCAATCAGGTCAAAACATTATCACACCACCAAGAAGTCCCTTCATGCTCCTTGCTGGTCACTTTTCTCTTTTGCTCCCTCAAAGAACTCACCAACATTAGTTCTGCCACTTTTTTCTATGCAGAGGTAGTAGGTTCGTGCAGTCTGCCCTGCCTTTTTGTGATAAGCAAATTGGCACAGTGAAATCACTGTAAAAATCATATGGATGATTATTACCAAATAAGAGATTTCCATTCTTTGACATGGAGCAGTGGTCCAAAATCACAGAGATGAGGTTGTGAGTTTCAGCAATCCATTTGAATGAAGCCGAAGTTACCAAGCTGTGCATTTAAACCTTAAAAGCCATGTCATGTTGCCACAGACCTTAGGACTGGTAAATTCTTCAGCAACTGAAGAACTTTGTCTCTGGAGCTCTGCAATGAATGTAGTGAAGAGCCACCTCTGTTCTAAAATCTACCCTAGACTCTCTTCCTTAACTTGTTAGCCTTGCTTATCCTTAGTCACTGGTATGCCTTCTGTTCCCTGTGTCTCAGCTCCAAGATCCTGATCACAGTCCAGAAGATGTCGGGATATTTTATACATCTTAATAACATACTTCCCAATCAAATTAATGTGAATCTCCTCCTTGGCTCAAAATGTGCAGAAGCTTGTTTATTTGAGATGCCTCTTCCATTACTCTCTGCACTGAACACCTTGAGAGTCTCAGATTTTTTACTTACTAGTTTCATTCAGAGGAATAGACTTTCAGACTGAGGGCACTTTTGCAGACAGTAGGGCTTCTGTAACTTCATAAAATACTTTGCAAACCTACCTCTGTTGAGAAGAACATTTTACTTTTTTGGTAGACTTGGAAGATTTAGAATCAGTTAAATGTGCCATTGGTCTCTAAACTAAATGGATTTTTATTTGAAGGTGACTAGCCTCAAAAGTTCAGTACCCAGTGGCAATATTAGCTTGATTTAAAACTGCTTCCAAGTTATATACCAAATCACATAAATGATCTCCCATCAAAAAAAAAATTTGTTTGTTTATTGCAACAGAATTTGCCTCTGTCTCCAAGGTCCTGGGATTACAGGGATGTGCCACCATGTGCAGCCATTCATCATAAATTTTTTTTTGGCGGTATTGGAGTTTGAACTCGGGCCTTGTGCTTAAAAGCACTCTACTACTTGCACCCTGGCTCCAGCCCTTTTGCTTTAGGTTATTTTTCAGATAGGATCTCAGTCTTTGCCTGAGCCAACTTGGACCATGATCCTCCTTCCTATGCCATCTCTTCCAAACTATGCTTCCCTTGTGACTGGGATTACAGGCCAGTACTTTGGCTTGTTCATTGAGATGGGGTCAAACTTTCTGCTTGGGTTGGGCTCAAACTGTGATCCTTCCCATCTCTACCTCCCAAGTAGCTTTGATTACAGATATGAACCACCAATTCATTCTAAATTAAAGACCTATCAGATGATTGCTCATTTTTTTTTAAAAGCAAAAAATTGGGAACACTAAAAGGATTATTTTTCTAGTCATTAGGGGCCAGCTACTTTCTCATATTCAGAAACCAGACAAAGATTGATTGTACTTGTTATTCTTGCATCAAAAGGTGTACCCTGCTTGGGGACCAAAATGACACACAATAGGCAAGGACAGGAGGGACTCCAGTAAGCCAAAAATTGCAGTTTCTATTTTTTGCTTCTGACCAAGAACAAAGTGATATATTCATGTCAAATTGCCTCAGTTGTTTTTGTTTTTTTTTTTTAAATCTGATAGGGCTGGGGGCAAGTAGAGCACTTGGCTGTCATGTACCAGGTCCTGGGTTTGATATCTAGATGACAAAAACAAACAAAAAATGATAACTTAAGGACACTTAAAAGTTATTATATGTAAATAAATTTATAATTTCATGATTTGTGAAATGATTATTTTATAACTGTACATGTTACAGAATTGAAAGCATATGTCAACATCCGAGGAGGAATTAATCCTAATGAAGTGAAGTTGAAGACCTTGTGTCTTACATGCATTTTGGGAACGTTTTGTTCTATGCTGCTAAATGTTTACATTTAATAGTGCTTTCAGTAACAGCAAAAAGAATGCATTAAGCAACTAGGAAGGTCACGGCTGACAAATGCGTTAAGAATGGTTTTTAAGGGCATTATTGATAGTGGGACCCATAAATTCATCTCAGTCAATAAGCTTATGGTAGGAATAGTATCCTGGTTTCAAGTTATCTTGGCAAAGATTAATAGAAATATCTCTCTTATAAGTCTAAATGCTCAGA